CGTGAAGAAGCTGACGAAGTCAGGAGCACTCAGCAACAACGTTAGCCACAGCGCGGTACTCAGCCTCGGCGCTAGACCGCGAGACGGTGGGCTGCCGCTTAGGAGACCACGACACCAGGGATGGTCCAAGGAAGATGCAGTAACCCGAAGTAGAACGACGCATGTCCGGGAAACTAGCCCAGTCGGCGTCGGAGTAGGCGACCAGATCAGTGGCAGTGGAGGCTCGCAGAGTAAGACCAAGATCCATAGCACCGCGGATGTAGCGGAGAATCCCCTTAATGGCAGTCCAGTGAACATCTCGAGCAGCATGCATATGCAGGCAGACCTTCTGAACCGTGTACTGAAGCTCCGGCCGAGTGAGAGTGAGGTACTGGAGAGCACCAACAATGGATCGGTAGAAGCCAGCATCTGGAGCAGGAGTACCATCAGTAGCAGAGAGCTTGGCCTTCGTGTCGACAGGAGTGGCGGCCGGTTTGCAGTTAAGCATACCAGCACGGTCAAGAAGCTCATGAGCGTACTTCCGTTGATGAAGGAAGAAACCATCAGGACGACGCACCACCTCAACACCGAGGAAGTAGTGCAACGGACCCAAGTCCTTGATGGCAAACTCTGGACGGAGACAATCAGTAAGCCGGCGAAGGAGCTCAGAAGTGCATGCCGTCAGGATGATGTCATCAACATAGAGCAGCAAGTACGCCGTGTCGGTGCCCTGGTGATAAACAAACAGCGAAGCATTGGAGCGTGTGGAGCGGAAGCCGAGTTGGTGAAGAAACGCTGCGATGCGCTGGTACCAGGCACGAGGAGCCTGCTTGAGCCCATACAATGAGCGTGAGAGCAGACACACATGATCAAGACACGCCGGGTCAACAAACCCCGTGGGCTGTTGATAGAAGACCTGCTCCTCAAGATGACCATGCAGAAAGGCGTTGGAGACATCCATCTGATGAACTGGCCAGGCACGAGAGACCGCTAACTGTAAAACAGTGCGGATCGTCCCGGGCTTAACAACCGGGGCGAAAGTGTCAGTGAAGTCCACACTAGCGCGTTGCCGGAAACCACGAACAACCCAACGCGCCTTGTAGCGATCCAGAGTGCCGTCGGGACGAAGCTTGTGTTTGAAGACCCACTTCCCGGTGATCACGTTAGCGTGCCGGGGACGGGGAACAAGCTGCCAAGTCCGGTTCCGCTGCAAAGGTCGAACTCCTCCTGCATGGCGGCCATCCAGAGAGGGTCGCGTAGAGCAGCCCGAACCGAGGACGGCAGCGGGGAAGGAGCGGACGTCGAGGCGGTGCAGACGTAGTCATCCGCATAGCGGTAACTCGGGCGAAAAACCCCGGTGCGTGAGCGGGTGACGGGCCCGGCCGGCGGAGCAGCCGCGGGTGGCGGTGAGGCCGTGGCCTCCACGGCGTCCACGGGAGAGGCAGTGGCCTCCATGTCGTTGACGGGAGAGGCAGACCGAGCGGGAGTCGAGGCAGGGGCGTCGGGGGAGCCCGCCGACGGGGCGGGCGAGGCGGGCGACTGAGGCGGGGTCGAAGCCGCGCCCGTAGAGGCCTCACCAGGGGAGGCGGCGCCAGGAGAGGCCGACCCAGCCGGCGGCCCAGCATGCGGCCCAGCATGCGGCCTAGCATGCATGGCGGGGGATCGGGGCGACGTAGGCCGCGTCGACGGGGCTCCAGGCGACGAGGGCGCTAAGCCGGAGGAGGGAGCCGCGGATGGCCCTGATGCGGAGGAGGGAGCCACGGGCGAGGGTGTCGGAGCACCCAAGGCCGGCAGCTGGCGGCGGCGCGGAGGAGAGCCCGTCGCGGGAGGGGAAGACGGCACCATCTGTTCCTGGGCAAAGGGAAACAAAAGCTCATCAAAGTACACGTGTCGTGATGTGATGACATGGTGAGACACAGGGTCGTAGCAGCGATAACCCTTAGTGTTGGCCGGGTAACCAAGGAAAACACATGGAACAGAACGAGGAGCTAGTTTATGAGCGGTGGTGGCGGTGGTGTTGGGGTAGCAACGGCAACCGAAAATACGGAGACCATCATAGGAGGGAGGAGTGCCATATAAGAGATGGTAAGGCGCATAGTTCCAGCGCGTACGGCATGGCCGGAGATTGAGGAGGAGGGTGGCGGTGGCGAGGGCATCGGGCCAAAACCGAGAAGGCATGTAGGCATGGAAAAGAAGGGTGCGCACACACTCATTGAGGGTGCGTAGGATGCGCTCGGCACGGCCATTCTGCTGGGAGGTGTATGGGCACGTGAGATGAAACACGGTGCCGTGGGTGGAAAGGAGATGGCGGATGGTGAGATTGTCGAGTTCTTTCCCGTTATCGGTCTGAAGTGCGAGTATGGGTCGCCCGAACTGTGTGGAGACATAAGCATAAAATGCAATGAGAGTAGCGGCAACATCGGATTTCCTACGAAGAGGAAATGTCCACAGAAAGTGAGAGTAATCATCTAGTATGATGAGATAATAAAGATAACCAGAATTACTGGGTACTGGAGATGTCCATACATCGCTATGAATTAACTCAAACGGAAAAGATGCAACTGTGGAAGAGGAGCTAAAAGGAAGGCGAACATGTTTGCCTAACCGGCATGCTTCACATGAGTGAGCGGCCGTTTTATTACATGAAAAAGAAAATCCTCTCATTATTTGACGAAGTGAAGAAGTGCTAGGATGCCCGAGACGAGCATGCCAAAGATCGACGCCGGCGGAAAAAGCTCGAGGACCACCCGGAGATGACGGCGACTGAACTGGGTAGAGGTCGCCGGGACTGTCACAGCGGTGAAGAATCATCCTGGTGCGAGCGTACTTAACAGAAAAGCCAGCTTCGTCAAATTTCACAGTTATGAAATTATCACGAGAAAGATTGCGAACAGAAACTAAGTTCTGAATGAGATGGGGAGAAACAATGACATTATTAAGAGAGAGAGGTCGAGAGTTAGAAGGAAAAGGTGCAGAACCAACATGAGAAATAGGAAGACCAACAACGTTGCCGATGATGATGCGGGAGGGAGTGGAAGTGGGATGAACGGAGGAGAGGTTACCCGGATGAGCGGACATATGAGCGGTGGCACCGGAGTCCATGATCCAATCGCCACCACCACCGGAGTAGGGTGGCGGCTGCTGCAGTGCCGCTAGAAGTGCCGGGTCGTAGTAGGGGGCGCCGTATGCGCCGGGGGCGCCGTACGCGCCGTAGGAGGGCGCGGCAGGGGGGCGCCGTGGGCGCCGTTGGCGCCGAAAGGCGCGGCCAGGAGCGCCTGGTGGGTGCTCGGGCGGGGGGCGAGGATGCCCGGGGCGGGGGGCCGCGGCACGGGCATGCTGTATGCGTGCACGACCCCCGTCTAGGGGTTGTAACCACCGGCCCAGGGTGGCGGGGGCTGCTGCTGAGGAGCCTGACCGCCGCCACCGCCGCCACCTTTGCCTCCGCCTTGGCGGTTACCGTCGCGACCGCGGCGGCGGTTGCCGCCGTTTCCACCGTTGCGAGGTGGTTGGGGCGGCTGGGGCACCGGCGCAGGGTGCGGGACAGCGGCAGGAGGAGGCGCCGAGGGTGGTGTAGAGGCACCGATGGAGAGGTCGGCGGCGAGGGCGGTGTGGACGGCGCGGGTGCGGAGGTGCTTCATCCGCCGCTCCTCAAGACGAAGATAGGCCACCGCCCGCTCGTAAGTGGGGTTGACCATGAGGGTTAGGATGGAGGCGGCGTTGCCGAAGTCCTCGTTGAGGCCGGCGGTGAGCGTCGAGAGGAGAAGCTCGTCGCCCACCTTGAACCCGACGTCATTGAGCTCGTCGGAGAGGGTCTTGAGCCGGAGACAGAAGGCGTCGATGGTGGAGTCGTTCTGGTGACACCCAAAAAATTCCTGCTGCAAGAAAACAATCCGTTGAAGCTTGTTGTCGGTGAAGAGGCCATTGATCTTGGTCCACACCGTGTAGGCATCGTCCCCATCGCGAACGACGGTGTGGAAGATGTCCGGAGAAACGGTGAGGAAGAACCACCGGATAAAGGTGGCGTCGATGGCGAGCCAGTTGGCGTCGTGGGCGCCGGCAAAGAAATTGGCGAGACCGTCCACATGATCACGAAGATTGTACTCACGGAAGAGGAGGTTGAAGTAGGTTTTTCAGGCATAGTAGTTTGCGGAGGCGTGGGAGAGGATGATGGGAACGTGATCGGAGAGGTGGATGTTGTGGATGTCGGCGGCTTGGGGCTCATCGGGCTTGGACCCGTAAAAGGAGGCGAACGTGTTGCTAGGAGGTGCGCTGGAGGAGGAGGAGGTGCCGAGGGCCGACATGGCAGAGGGAGGG